ATGTGCTATTTATTCAATATCCTCCTATTTTAACTCCTACATTAATAAATTATTGTTGATTGTTTATTGCAAAAGATTGCATAATGCACGAGTTTTACCACCAACAAAATTAACCACTCATTATAAAGCTTACTGGCATCACGCTAAAAAGTTTCAGAGCTTCGGTTCATGTCAATTAATTCAGGAAGTACCTTGCAGACATGTATAAAGTTCAACCCTCATTGACACAAGTCCTTGCCATGTTAGAGGCCGGAAACGGATATACCGTGCTGTGATTGGCGGGTTAAGTTCATGATATACAACTGTATCACGGTCCTGATTTCCGGAAAACTCCTAAAGCATAAAATAGCGGTTGAATGTTAGGAATTAATCTGAGCTGGGAAAAAAGTTTTGACGAAAGTAGCGCTCTTTTATCCGATTTCATGATGTCACTATTCCTTTGAACAAAATTTTAGAAATCAGAAGTAAAACTGAAATTAGACCGAAAGGAAAAGTTAAACATTTAATACACCTTATTCGATGGTTTAACATACAATACACACGGATATTTGCGAGTTGCGTAATACTTTACTGCAAGCAATAGACAAAATGTCCGCTCGTATTATATTAGAATTAAAGCATCAAATAGGGGAGCTATTATCCCACTATTATTTCACTTTTTGATGTTGCGATTTCAGCTTGCAAAGTACATCCCACGGCCTTATCTGTGCATCGTATTGATCGCAAAAGGAGTACGTGAAAGACGAAAAAAACACGAACGAAACCATTTAAGTGTTCTTTGTTACCAAAAAATAAATCTGTCGCACTTAAAAGTTGGTTTTTTAAAAAATAAAACGATATCAAAGTTTGGATCGTTCAATCATTCAGTGCTGCCATTTTGTTGCTTCATATTTTTGCCTGTGGTACAGAGTTATACCGTGGCACATTGTGCACGTCCTCATATAATGACATAGGGAGGAATAATTGTACTCATTAACGCTTTAACCCCTGAGAGTATATGGAATCTAATGTATGTCCACAGCATCACCTATGAATCAAAAGTGTAGGTCATGAGGATAAAGGAAATGATCACCATTTTAAGAAGCTCCTGATTTTCGAACAAATTCTTGTCAGTACCCTTGGAAATATGCAGAGAACAGTGTGGAGAGAATAATCAATTTACGAAAAAAGAGGCTTGAGTCTAAACTCCATAGAAAATATGTTTTAAACTTGTTAAATGAACCACAACATTTGGCTGCTATAAAAACTCCGAAACTTCCTAAAATTCCAAACAAAGGAGTAACAAATTTACGCGAACGAAAGCTCAAAAATAACTAAAACTCCACGAAAACGAACTAAGAGTACAAAAAGAATACGAAGGGGGAAGAGGAAGAGAAAAATTGTTACTTGAAATTTAAGAACAAAAGAGATTTCTACAGAGACCAAGAATGCTAATGTTAGGTGGAAAAGGGTTAAGACCAGTTTTTATGCTGTTTAATTTTATTTGCTGGGGAAAATTAGGAAAGTTGTTAAACCAAAAAATACGGAGTCATAGTAAGGTTTTTTTCCAGGAGTAGAGTTGTTATTGATAACTTTCAGAAAAAGTAATAAAAAAAAGATGAAAGGTAATACTGTTTTTAGGTCACCCAATATATAGGATATAGAATGGATTTGAAATATAGAAAGGATATGGAATAAATCAAGGAAAATGTAGTGTAGTTGATCAAAAGTGTTTCAGAAATTGTAATGAATCACAATTGCATTTAAGCATGGCCAAATTGAAGCGGCTGATTGTAACAGCATCAAAGGAATGATGAAAAAGGACTTAGATAAATGAGAAACTTGGTGTGGTGAGATAACTGGAAACCTCATGTAGGCATATGGATCAGTCATGTATTGCAGCTGCAAATTCGGTTGATCAACCTTTTACTGTCTGTTACCTTGCGCAATGACTGGCCATTTTCCTTGTAAGAATCAAACTTAACTCCATCATAACTGTACTGCACGTAGTATTTTGTCACCCATTGACCGTGATCATTCCTCCCCTGTGTAGCCAGGCCTGTAACACTCGTATATTGACTGCGTAGGTCCACTTGGAGCCACTCATCAACTGTGTGCTGTAAAGCCACCCAACCTCCCGCTCCTGAGCTTGGTAGAAGATTTAACCTAGCCCGGGTGGTGCCGTGAGTGGCTGAGTTCCATTGCGAGGACGCTGTTATTTGGTCGTCCTGTATGTTGCCGTTTTCCATGCCGAGAGGAACTTTACATTCTAAATATTTTTTTTGGAATATGCATGTAAGTACATGTAGACACCATCCTCATCAATACTCAGCAGATGCATAACAAAATCTTTCTGCACTCTACATACCCTCTGGGACCTATCCAGGAAACACGTGCCACTCTCTCATCTTAATGATTGGTCAGTCTCCATTTTCAAGCGCTTCAGGCAATCTTTTTTCTTAGTCGTGATTGCCTCTTAGTTATAATTCCTTTTTAGTTCAGTAGCCGTTATGTTAATTTTGAATTTGATGAAAAAGGCTCTTTCCGATAAGCTTATCATAAAATCAAATCAATTTAAGGTGGAAAGCAAAAGGTGAGATTTTAACCCAAAAAAAGGAAACTAGCCAAGAGATCAAATCTCGCACATTTATTTGGGTCAAACTGTAAAGCTAATTTCACCCTTTCATAACCAAGTTTTCCTTTATGTCGGGACTTATAAGGCTCCTTTCCCGTAGCCTTGTTGTTTCTTTCAGGGTTTGTTGACGTTCCGTGGGTTATTTGCGTAAGCAAAATCGTTGTAAAGGGTAAAGCATTTCCATCCCTGCAGAGATTTTCGACGTCGAGGGGGACGTATAACTAACTTGAGAGGGGTTGCCTTTGGAATAATGCCTATATGGATATTTGTTTACGTTATCTTAACTCGATATTTTTCAGGTCTGGGTTTGTGATAATTCGGAGAGATACTTTAACGCAAAGCGCTGTCATCACAGGCGGCCCAAGCTCACGTCTCGAGAAAAAGCCAACAGTTAATTCATGAAAGCGTCACGCGTTAAAAATTTGAACACGCCATAAGGAATAGTATAGAGAACTTCGTCTTTTAACATGAATAACAGTGATGGTAAAGCAAGCTTAAAACGGCAGAAATCGTCGGAAACTTCAACGGACACAAAGAATGTGGGTAAGTTTTATTGATTTTACGTGTGTTCATATTTCGAAATATTTATTGTTGTAAATCGACTACATTTGGTTCCCCATACTATTCCTTGTAACGTGTTCAAATTTTCAACGGTTCCTCACGTAACTTAACACCGAGTCACACAACGCGTGACGCTTTCATGAATTAATCGTTGGTTTTTTCTCGAGACTTGAGCTTGGCCGCCTGTGCTGTCATCTATTAGTGATTGATATGTCGTTGAAACGATGAAAATGACCGTAGGAGCCTGGGAAGTGTTCTATTTTGAACCCAGAATACAATACTTAATACGACAGATGCAGCCGTTCAATTTTCAGTCACAGCTTGACGATAAAAGGGATTAAGCCAAAATGATGGTAACTGCCGCTGGTACATACCTTTCATTATCAGACTTACCTTGTTCTCCGTTTGATCTCACAACCTGAAAAGCAATTAAAGTATATCTCTTGTAACGATACTTTACAAGATGTTTCTTTCGCAGAGAAGGATGAATAATGTACTTTAAACAAAGTATTTAGAGACAGAGAATCCTCAATAATCATTTCGTGAGGCCTGAAACTAGTTATAGCTCTTAAATTATCGTATGTCTTAAATTTTTTCTCTTTGATCTTGATATTACATCGTATTTGTAAAGACATAAATGATGCTTTTGTTAACAAATATGTACACACTTAGAACGTATGCGTATCTTAACATAATTCATACAACAATCCAAAGTCTCAAGGCAAATACCTTAGCTATGCCTACATTAAGTTCATGGTTGTTTGAAGCCTGGCGAATTAAATCCCGATCCTTTTTTTAAAACTTCTTCAATACGGTCTCACTTAAAAATAATCATTATTTAAGTAATGGTAGAATTTGGTCGAAGAAAGTAATTAAGCTAATTAGCAACCCGAGTACCCGATCGATGGAGAGAAACAGTGTCTTACAAAATTAACTTGTCGATAGAGCTCTCCTAATTTATTTGAATTATTTTAGTTCTTAAAGATGTATAGAGACACGATCGAAATTTTCAGGATGTTGTTTGATGATGGTCATCTTTTAGCGGCATTTTAGTAACGGTAAAGTTTTCACCTTACTAGTCATACGTGAGGAAATATATGAAAAATGTTTCACTTAAAATGAAAAATACCTCAATATCATTCAGAAACAGATAATAATCCTACCAGAAATAGGAGAACGAACCACGAATAAGGCACTTTCATCTTCCGAAACCACTATTGTTTGCGAAGCATTCCAGAGAATACAAATCGCAAGAAATTGATATAACCACTCGAAAATTGCGAAATAAGACTTGAATGCTTAATTACTGCAAATCTTTGTAAAACAGAAGAGCCACAACGATCTTTGTGCAAAAGAGACTAATCAAATTCGTCATACACACGGATTCCCCGGAGTTGTTATCTTTTCACCTGGTGTGTAGGTTATCAAGGTCACACGGTTTTTGCTTTGTGATTGGCGCGATAGCCGATCGATAAATAATTGAACGTATATCTTGCAATCACCTGTTTATGGTCTGGGCAGGTGATACCCAGTCATTTCCAGAGCTAATTGTTTTAACCTTGTAGATCTGATTTGCCTTTGGTAATTGATTGGCGCCTCTAAACCAGTAGATAGCAAACTCTGTGAAAAAAAGACGAGAGATCTTACAAATTTGAGTCACCTTAATATAACCGAAAGTCGGAATTAAAAAGAGTTCAGAGCCTTGGGACGGAAAGAAACTCAACTGAAGACGATTAAAAACTATCTCTCATATCATGCTGATCATGCTGAATAATAAGAGAGGACCCTGGGAACGAAATTTAAAAATTCGCTTCCACCGGCACTTCCGCCATTTGGGATCATGGCATCCGCTCGAGAGGAGAGTCGCATAAGTCCTTACAGAAAACTGCTTATAGATCTGTCTATGGAACTGACTAGAAGAGATCTGGAGAGTTTAATTTATGCTGTAGGGGATATTCTTCCTAGGAGACTGACTGAAAATATGGAAAGTGGACTGAAGTTATTTGAAGCACTCGAACAGGATGTTCATATTAGTCCACAGAACCTGAACCTGCTGCAAGATGGGTTTAATACAATTGGCAGAGCGGATCTTGCGCAAAGAATTCAGGTTTTCTCAAGTAAACCAGACACTGTTGAGACTGATGGTAATTCTAACTGCATATGTCGCGTTTTGATAAGGGAGAGTAGTATAGAATACCCGTCATAATAAGTTGGGAGAGATTTCAGTATATAAGCCCATGTTTACAAAGCCTTGGCATTTCATCGTATTTGTTATTGAGTTTTTTCACCAAAGAAATGAAAGCATAATAAAGTGTGGGGTTAAGGAAGAATGTTTCAGGAAGCTTTCTACAACTCTGAAATGCATAGGTGAATTATACTCGCGATAAACAACTCGAACAATTCATTCGAGTGAAAAATCTGGAAACTTGCCGAAACTGCACAAAACAATTAGTCAACGGTGGTAAAACTTAAGAACACCGGGCATCTCAGTTTGAATCATCGGATAGCCTTTTGTGTTACTCCTCGTTCGTGGAAGACTGCCAATAAGGTAAATCTCAGTGGCCTTGTATTCTGTTGTTTTTGAAATAGCGAGAAATGGTAGCCACATTGATTGAGTTATTCTGTTTTGTTCATCAAATTATAGTTTCAATTAATTCATTTATTTTAAAATCCCCAAGGTATAAGTTTAATACAGGCGATGATACTCTGAGCATTTGAGAATGCTAATTTAGTTTCCCTATTTTGTTTGAGACAAAATAGTGATCAGTTTAAAGTAAGCGTTGCTCTGTTCACCAAGCAGGTGGGCAAGATGACATAGTGACTGATGGAATTGGGGATCAAGGCAATGCTGACACAACAGAGAGTGATCCTACTGACACAATAAACCCTGGTGCAGAGAAAGGTATTATGATTAAGAGGAATTACTGATTGTAAAAGGAATACCTTATAACTAACCTTTTTCCAAATATGTGGTTTGCATAGATCTCTTTGGAAGAGCATTTTTATGTCAGTGAGGTCCTTAAGGATAGGTAGATGTCTTTGCTGCACAAGAAAATCTCCACTTTCTTGTTAACTTGGAAACTTAAAATATTTCCATTAAGTTCCCCAGAGCAAGCTAGATTTTATTCAATATCAGCCCTGTAGAAGACTGAACATTTTTTTTGCTTGAATCAATCAGCTCATGCTGTACACTTGAAATCAGCACAGCTACCTCATCAATCAGTGTTACCGTTTGATGGGAATCTGGGAAGTACCCCCACAGTCACCAGACCCAGGGGTGCAGGAGAAGCTACTCCTACAAAGCATTGCCTTGTGGCCAGCAGTGATAATTTATCTATGGCTATAAATGATGGTGAGACTTGTAAATCAAACAAAAAGTTAACTGCCAGCTTTTAGTTCATAACAATTAAGGATACCCACTGAACCACTCTTTACTCTTAATATATACACTAATGTTGCTGTCTGCGATTGCTAATTACACTGTGATGGATTCTTTGATATACAACTGTGTTTAAGAAATTGTCCATCATAAGGAATGTTTAAAGTAAAAAACTCAAATACTTAATTTGAAATTTAGTTAGATGAAAACAGCAAGATTTACAATTAACAGCTAACTTAAGAGATTAGAGGTGGTGTTAGGGTCAGCCTGATTAGCTGAGAAGTTTAAAAAAGCTGAATTGTTATGCTGGAGGGAGATATTTTATAATCCAACAGTTTTTCTTGTGGCAATCCTTGTTATTTTTTTGTTGACTATGAAAGGTTTATATCGGTCATTAGCAAGATCTTATTAGGTTTTTTTGAAATATTTTTTTATGATTGAAAAAGGTTACATAGAGTGTATTATTTTATTTGAAAACTTTTGGATATTAAGGTATCTAAAGTTGAACATGTGTATGCTAAACAGGACCTTGCTCTTCTTCTTTTTAAATCCCAGGCTCCTACACTTCATCTCCTGCACCCTCACCTGCAGCTGTGGGGCAACAATCACGAGGACCCACTCAGGCTGCTTCATCTGGTAGAGTCCAACATGACCCAGCCCATGGAACACCATCGGTGCGATATGTGAACTTTCTTCTTTACGAGGGCTATTCTGTGGAAATAATAGGAGGAAAACACTTCAAAACTCCAGATGGAGAGTTTGTGGAAATGAAAAGTGGGACACAGTATAAAATACATGTCAAAAACTCACATACCTATGGTAAGAGACAAACATGTCAAATATATTCTGTTTGTGAACTGCATATACAATATATCTGTAGTTCATAATTCAAATACTGACCCAAAAATTAATGGGATCAGCAATCCTGATGGCCTAACTTGGTAAACCTCTCTAGTATTGATAATTTGTTTTTATCAACTGGGTTGATGAAGTAAATTGGCCATCATGGAGAGTTTTTCAAGCTGATATTTTAAGTGTTAGCCTTTTTTCAGAGCCTCACTGACATGCATGTATGAAATGATCTGCACAGTTAAATATGAGAAGCAAAACTCCTGTCATATGTTTAGCTGCAACTGTTTCAGTGGGTTAATACGTTCAATTACAATATGTACAATAATGAAGGAAGATCTTGTAGCCAAGGGTTCTGGAAAAAGGACTGAAGGGGGAGGTTTCCAAATTCTTCTAAACTACAGTGTAGAAAATTGACCATATAGTCTTTCTTGCAACACAATTCACATATGCTAAGTTACATATGTATCAAGAGCTGCATGCATTTGAAAAGTCTGGATAGAAGCAAGAGTTCACTCATGCTCTCCAACCTTAACATTTTTATGCATTTTCTATTTGTTATTTAATATGTGTGTTAAAATTATTAAATGAACTCTCAGTAATTACTAAAATTAAATTAAAAATACAATTTTTGTTCAATTTGTCATTTATTATATGCATGCAATTTTCATTTGAGTGAAAATAGTAATTGAGAAATGCTATTTTGTTGTCTCACAACTCTGTATGTAAACAGTGATGTCTTGAATCATATTATAAAAATTAATTACTAAACCCCAACCTTAAGTGTTATGGCTATTGTTTGACACTCTTGTTTCTTTGGTCCATTTCAGGTTGTCATGTGGATATATCAATTGATGGTTATGATGTAGGAGGATGGGCTCTCAGGCGTGGAGAAGAGATGTCAATAGAAAGATCAGCATATGAGGCAAAGAAGTTCACCTTCTATCGAGTGAAAACTACACCAAAAGAGGCAGGAATTGTGTCTGGGCAGCCTGAAAATGGTGTTCTTAAGTGTGTGTTTACACCTGAAGTTGTCATAGCATTCACACAAGGTTTATCTTTCCATCCACCAGATGAAACAGAGAATGCAATGGAAAGAAGTATGTAAGATTAATGAAATATTTTTTATTTCATAACTCCAGAAAATATCTATGCCCCACTTAACTTGAGAGTGGAGAATTAATTATGTATCACTCCTCATACCTCCCTCCCACCTGCCTATCTAAACTTTAAACTTTTTCCACACTCCTTTACTTACTACCACTTACTACTACTCCTCCTACTCCTCCTCCTCCTCCTCCTCCTCCTCCTCCTCCTCCTCCTCCACCTCCTCCACCTCCTCCTCCTCCTCCTCCTCCTCCTCCTCCTCCTCCTCCTCCTCCTCCTCCTCCTCCTCCTCCTCCTCCTCCTCCTCCTCCTCCTCCTCCTCCACCTCCTCCTCCTCCTCCTCCTCCTCCTCCTCCTCCTCCTCCTCCTCCTCCTCCTCCTCCTCCTCCTCCTCCTCGTCCTCCTCCTCCTCCTCCTCCTCCTCCTCCTCCTCCTCCTCCTCCTCCTCCTCCTCCTCCTCCTCCTCCTCCTCCTCCTCCTCCTCCTCCTCCTCCTCCTCCTCCTCCTCCTCCTCCTTCTCCTCCTCCTCCTCCTCCTCCTCCTCCTCCTCCTCCTCCTCCTCCTCCTCCTCCTCCTCCTCCTCCTCCTCCTCCTCCTCCTCCTCCTCCTCCTTCTCCTCCTCCTCCTCCTCCTCCTCCTCCTCCTCCTCCTCCTCCTCCTCCTCCTCCTCCTCCTCCTCCTCCTCCTCCTCCTCCTCCTCCTCCTCCTCCTCCTCCTCCTCCTCCTCCTCCTCCTCCTCCTCCTCCTCCTCCTCGTCCTCCTCCTCCTCGTCCTCCTCCTCCTCCTCCTCCTCCTCCTCCTCCTCCTCCTCCTCCTCCTCCTCCTCCTCCTCCTCCTCCTCCTCCTCCTCCTCCTCCTCCTCCTCCTCCTCCTCCTCCTCCTCCTCCTCCTCCTCCTCCTCCTCCTCCTCCTCCTCCTCCTCCTCCTCCTCCTCCTCCTCCTCCTCCTCCTCCTCCTCCTCACTTTTTACTCTAAATTCCAAAGCTCAGCTCAGCAATGATTTTTGTTTATTTTTCTTGGGCCACTTTGCTGTGGTTAAATTTAGATCATTGTGTTTTGAACTTTATATGACAGAATTGGGCCATATTTATTTCAGAGTGCAATATGAGTTAAGACTGTTTAATGGCAGTTCACAGAACACCTATGAAGTACTCAACAATCCCTTTAGCAAAGTCCGCTAAGAGTTTTAAGAAATTATTCACCATTGACTAATTTTGCTTCACAATGTTAGGGATAAAACAAGAAATTGAAAGGCAAGGTAGGTATTTTTATCTTGCTGTGGTTAGATATTTTACCCTAAATATGACTTCGAAATTCTTTATTATTGTCGTTGTCATTTTTATGCAGATGGAATTGGTAAGTGGATATGATAAAGAAAAAGCCAAAAAGGAGGCTCATTCCTTGTTGTTTGTGGCTGAGATAATAGCCAGGTGGAGAAGAAAAAAATCCTACTGGGTTACAGAATTTATACAGTACAACAAAACTCAGTTTTAAGTTCTTAAGTATCACAAGAAAAGAAAACAATAATCTCCAATGTTTTATTGGTGAATATAATGTTTTTCTTTCCAGTGAAAAGTAAATGGCAGTTTTTTAGCCTAAGATTTTATTTGACTCATTACATTATTGGACATGAAAAAATTTACTTTAGGGATTTTGCAAATTTAAAATAGAAATTTCCTCATTTGATCATGGGTATAAAAGAAAAAAAAAACTCTAGGTCATGTTGACGTTGACATGCTGAGCACCAAAATCATTTCAAAAGTTAGGATTACAAATATCAAGGAGTGTTTCAGCCTTAAATTAGTGAAGGAAAAGTCTCCATAACAAGGTATAACTGGTTTAGCACATGACAGCATACGACCATTCTTACGGAGACCAATTAAAATTTCCTAGAAGATTCTATTTAAAGTATTAAGAAATACTTATCATTGACTTTTTCAATTTTTTTTTTAAATTTCAGGTTTAGAACTGAATCGTATAGAGTCGAATATAGATTCTGCATCGTGTAAAGGTATTGACTTGTTTATTCCTTTTTATTATGTTTCAAAGAGTTTGGCTTCCATGCTACATATTTTACCTTACATGTCATTTCCTGTTTGTAATTATCGTCTTCATTAATGTCAAACCAAATAAACTGGTCAACAAAAGTGATGAAGATGTTAGAGCCAAACTCGTGGATCAATGTTTAAAGCATGTATGGGGGAAGGTAGCGAAGTGCAGAAGGATAAATTGCAGCAAGTTGCAGCCACAGTAGAGTGGGGTGTGCATCATTACTTTTAGCAACATTGTAGCAGGACACAAAATAAGTAGCCTTAGAGATAGTTTAACAATCCCTTGATAATCTGTTAAAATTGTCTGGGAAATATTCACCTTTAATTTTTTTATTTTTAACTTTTAGTGGGCATGGCGGAAAGTCATATATCAGCTAAACAGAGTAAGTATTTGTTTTTCTTGCAGAATCAAGTTTTAATAGAGCTTGGCTGCAGTGGCTAGATATTTGACCTTAAACATCACTCCATTTGATAATTATAACCGTTATTATTGTTGTTAAATCAAACGAACCTGGTGAAAAATAATGATGATGATGAGGCCAAAACATGGTTCAATGATTAAAGCATGTAGCGGAGATAATAGCAAAATGTAGGAGTTGCTTTCGTTGTTCCTTAAGGATCTAGTTTGGGACTGTCATTGTTCTCCGTGTATCTTGGCCACTTGCAGTTATTGAACCCTAAAGAGTATAATTTTACGAGGATGATGCAGTTATCCACTTTTTTTCAATAAGCCACATCACGTGAAGAGCGAGTTGAATGTAACTCCACAGAACAGCAATGAGACCATAAACGAACAAACTTACACTAAAACCTTTTAAAGACCAAATCCATGTCAAGCAGAAGCTACAGAAAATAGGAGAACGACTGGCCTACCACCACTGTAGCCTGGGTTCGATTCCCGGGCCTGCCTGGCGTCACATGTGGGTTAAGTTTTTTGTTGATTCTCATCCTTGCTGCGATGGTTTTTCTCCGGGTCCTCCGGGTTTCTCCCCCCCGCAAAAAACCAAAAGTCCAAATTCCAATTCGTCCCGGAGGAAGAACCACCTCATGGATTGGCCACTGCTAAATGATTATCATAAATAATAATTCTACAATTTTTCTATTAACCTTCGGGATGATGCTGCCCTTCACTTGATTGGATCTATATAGCACTTTTCATTAAGCTGGTTTGGTTTGTTTGTTGTCTCAATTCCGATAATTTTCCATGCATGTTATTGATGCCTTTATGCGATTGAACGAGTCAAAAAGATAATGGATCAATATACTTTACAAAAAGCGTAGAAGTTTGCTTCAAGTTTTTAAATAAAATCATGATAAATATCATTTAATTCTCATTAACGCGGTAGTTAATAACACAATTGTCATCGTTGTCTTCATCATTTATATTTATATTACTAAATATTCTATCTTTGGTTTGTTCCTCTGTCTTGTTATAAATTACTGAAAACGTTTCGCAACGTTTCGCAGGTGGATCGATTCTTAGTAAAGTCTCTGGTAAGTAGTTTCTCTCATCGCTGCAATTTCTATATTACGCCGAAGCAAGTTTTGGAAAAGTTGAAGAGTGTGGTCGTCGTCCTGTCGTTGTGGTTTATTCAAGCAATAGAGCATGTTTTTTGCAGGGATTATAGCGTGTTGAACCCACGCCTAATGTTGGTAGAACACGAAGAAAGCTTGTGATAGGCCCGTTTCGCCAAACGCATCGTTTTAACATGCTACCATAAGTGAATGAAGAAATCGAAACCTGTTAAAATGAGCTTGGGTCGCCTGTATTTTATGTAGCTTATGATAATTTTACGGATCCCTTTTTAATGTACATGTATATGTTAAATTCTCACCCGTTTGTATGTCCAATAGACCTTACGCCAGTTGAAAGGCCCGTCAGGGTTGAACATCCCCTTAAAAAAAGTTCCTCATGGCAAAGACCTTTCACAGGATTTTGTGTTGTTGTTACACTTTCTTCTTTCATTGTGAAGCGAGTAAGCTTAGACACAAAAAAGTGTCCTCTGGAACCAGAATTGAGCCAGAATTAGCCTACAATTGTCTCAAAGGTAAATGAAGAGCTCGTGAATGATATGATTTCAAAAACGTTCAGAATAAAAAAATTGGACTACAGAGGAAAATCGCCCAGGCCAGATTGCTGAAAACAAGAATAACCTAAACTAGGGTCCAGAGAATTTTTTTCAGCATTTGTTTTCTTGCTTTCAGTTTTGGTTTACAACAAGGAGCGAATAATTTTTAATTCTTGAATTGTGGTAGTCGCCTTTCAAACAGACGGTTGCTGATCGCCACATTATTTTTTTTTGTACCCTGTTACTCGCCTCTTTCTTCAGGTTGGTTCCAAAATCTTCTGCCTTCAAATTCTAATTCTGAAGCTCCCTCTGGTGAGTAGTATTTCACAAATGTAGTTGAATAACAAGTTCCCCTCTGGTAAGTGGTATCTGTCTCGGCGACGTCCACGAGTCAGTAAGGCTTCTTTTTAACAAACCTAAAACATCAAGGGACTTAATATAACAAACTGTCTTGTTTCTGCTTTTTAACTTGAAGAGTGTTGTTGTAAACACCATACCTCTGTAAATAAAGATACTCTCACCTCAACCCCTCTATTGTAAAGTGAGTTTATTTTTAGAAAACTTTGGGAACATTTTTTTTCATGAGTTTTGCATCTAAGATGCGATTTCTCCTTTTTTTTTTTTTTTTTCTGAATCACCAGATGCTTTCCAAGCCCCACCACCCCGGCAATCAACTCGTTACGGTAAGTTAGATTTAACAAAACTTTTCGCGGCCTGAAAATTGACTTGCAAAAGTTATAAGAGCTAATCAGACCATTTCTGTGTACTTAAAATTAAGAGAATAGTGAGGAATAACCAATAATCGCAACCAGGTACTTGCACAGTTGTACAACGGTGACTAGAAGGCTCAGAAGAATTATTTTGTTTAGGAATAACACACTATTTGATTGAAATCATATATGTATAAATATGTATATATATATATCCCTGTTTTCAAAAACGTTGCGATTTGAAAACATATATTTAATATGTATACCCTCTATTTTGTCGTCAAAAAAGTGATGGATAATGCAGGTATGTTTTACGTCGAAGGAACAACGCCATTTTATTATGGTGCGAAGATGATAGAAAAAAAACTTGGAAATTTTGACTCCAGCTATTTAAAAGCTTTTCTTTTGGCCCTCTAGTTTATTCTGTCACCTTCTTTTTCATGAAAAAACAAAAGGTACTTATATCATACATTGTGGATTATCAAATAAGGGAAACTACCCCTCGTTTTGTCGCCCAAAGTAAATATGAAACCAGGCACAAACTCAAATAGATTTTCCTTTATCTTTTTTTGGGGGGAATTAATAAATATCATAATTTAAAATGCTTTTATGCTGTAACTTCGCCTCGGGTTTTTAATATTTCACTCGGCAAGATGTCGGCTATTGTGTCTTGATTCAAAAGCTACATCCTATGTCTAAAAAGTTTTCGGCTAGGAAATTGGGATGCTGCTTGATCGATCTACAATTCGTTTGGGAGAGGCGGAGTGTAATTTTTCTACGGGCAGAACCGTCCATTTTTTAGAAATGTTCTTTTGCAGCAATAAAGTTCGAAGCCCACAATTTTTTTTCGGTTTTCAAGAACATTTAATTGTTTTTTTTGTGTGTGTGTGTTTACGCACGCCTTATGCGCTCGATACGATGCTCAGATTAGACCGTACGAAGTTTCTAAACCATAAGCCAAAAGACTAGAAAATGAAATATTAGTGGAATAATAAATCCCTTATTTGATGATTTAACATAAAATACGAGTGGACATTTTGCTCATCGCAAAATACCGCGCAGCTCGCAAAATATCCGTGCGTACATAAACAATATCCTCCACTTGGCGCGAAAATATGCACGGATATTCGCGGACATTATCTGTTCCAAGATGCGAACAGTTTTTCGAGAGCGAAGCTCGAGGAAAACTGTGAGCTTTTAGGAACAAATAATGTCTTGGGATAAGTAGATGAGTATATTTTCGCGCAAAATGAGGCTATTGTGTTTATTATACTTCAAACACTTTGCAACGCTTTTGACAAAAGTTTACGAACAGCTTACTATTTTTTTGCGTGGGAAGTTTTCTTTTAAGTGTTCTCTAGTAAGACTTTTTGAAGAAACAAATATTTCCGTTCCTCTACAACAACCTAAAAACGCTCTCTCGTCTTCAATTAAGGTTTAAAAATTGAGAAATTTCTCTCAAGGGATATTCTCGGTTTTAGCAGGGAAACACACGGTCACGTGATGCATTAAGACCAATTACACGCTAACAAAAACATTTGATGGATCATAACCTGATAAATGTTAAACCATCGTATAAGGTGTATATATTACCTAAGGGATGTGCCAGGGAACAATTTAATGACTGCCGTTTAAACTGATTTCTTAGCTCAATCCAGTCGTGTCAATGTCGTTGAACGGGATCCAGCATGGAGGGCAGGTGCTACAACATTACAAGGTCACAGCACACAACGGTTCATCTCGGCTGAACCGATGGAAGTGGATCCTTCAAGGAAGGTTGAGCTGGTTCTCAGGCTTGTGGCCAGGTATTTCTCAATTTTTGCACGTCTCAGTATTTTAGATGGTAGCTTAGTTGATGAAAGGATTCTGGTGAACCATCATAATGTGCGTGCTGGTAATCCACCATTTTCATCATCACCAACTTCTTTTTTTTCTTTCTGCATACTTCTAAGATGTATTCAAACACGTCTTCCGTTGTTGACATTATCACAGATTTATTCTGATTTACCATTTTTAAAATTTTTTTCTCAATTACCTGGCGTAAGAACTGGGGTAATGAGAGAGCCCTTTGTGGGAAAAACCTTTCTTTTTGAAATGACCTCGCTTCCCACCTACTCGAAAGATATCTAGAATTACTTTACAAGGCATTTTGAAAATGATTGATCCCAACAGTTGTTGTCGAGGAGAAATCTGGTCAGGCGTTCCTCTTAGATTCACAGCGAACAATCCAGGTTGCATCCATGTTAATGCATTTTATTGTTACTCTAGGGAGGGAGAAGAAATACTCGAGTTCCCTAAAGATGAGTGTAAACCGTTGTCAACTCTGATTCCACCAGCTGTCCAGGAGTAGAGGAGGTACTGGGTCGGTGTCAACCTTTTTAAAAAACATGAACTGCCCTGGCACTCTTTCTGGAGGAGTATTAGCGTTTAATTTCTTGGTGATCATAGCTTTAAACGATATACATCACCTTATTTAAGCAGTTTTCGTTGTCACAGAGATCAGTGTTTCGTCGGAATGAAACGTTGACAAGTTATTTCACTGGGGTTCACAAACACCAGTGGAGGGCGAATATTTTTGTCAAACAAGTGTGAAACGTAACTGAAGAAATCACGTTAATGCCACAAGATTCTCTCTTCTCAAAGAAATTACTCATATTTTTGGAGGCTAAGCTATCGATCGCGACATTTGATACAAAATAGTATTTGCCATTTGGTAGACGAGGAATAATTAGTTCAACCGTAGGTGAACAGAAGGATGTGATTCTAGAAATTTGCTGTAGATTAAAACATGTTGTAACATTGAATCTTTGTGCATAAGATAATAAATAAAATTTGAAGAACAATATACTCTCTGAAACTCTTTGAATATAATACAGAAGTGCTCTGAAAGGAATTGTCGCGTTGAGTAACACTTCACACAGTGTAACGTCACACAGTCAATTATATCGGAAGAAAGTATCTATATCTATCGTACTTTTCGCAAATGAGTCATTGTCGACCACATGGAATTGTTGAAACGGGTTCAGAGATAAACCAAGTTTTACTTGATGTCGCACAATAAAGCCACACCGCGTAAAATCCAGTGATCTGGATTCTGATTGGTCTTTAAGTCCACGCTTGCAATATATGTCAAATCCGTTCTTTTGGGTTTCTTGTATATCGGACACTGGTACATCCGGGCATCGCGTCCGGCTGTTGTATTGATGGCATAGATGTGAATGACTGGCATAGACGTAAATAGGACCTTCTGAGTGGGTTCTACCAGTTTGCAGCCTCTCCGGTCCCACCCAGCACCATCAAGATAAAGCCCGTGAACATACACCCCTTCTGCTGGCGGCTGAGTGATGTCATCTTTAAAGAACCGTGTGACGTCATTGTGGAGAACCACACAGTCCAAGGCCCATCCCTTGTGCGCTCGTGTCACTTCCTGCAAAATGACCACATTGGTATCTGAGAAATGTTCATAGATTGATTCAGATGTAGTGTTTGAATTTTCCTTTTGCAAGCTCAGCTAAGAAAATCGAAATTTGTATGGGGTCTTGATCGTGAATTTGACGGATAAGCTACGATAGGCCGTTCGTGTTTTGGTGCGCTAGGATTGCGGGCGCAACATAACATCCATAGCTGAAGACAACGAATCAAATAAATAAATAAATACAGAGGACAACAAATTAATAATAAAAAAAGATACAGGGATCTTCACAAAAATCATTTGATGTTCTCCACTGCTTTAGTTTCCATAAATAAGTGTTTTTGTTTGTTTTTCTCTTTTTTTCTTTCAATATGTTTGTTGTTTTTTGTTAAATTTGCTTTAGCTTATTTGTTTACTTGTTCTTTGAAAGAATGAGCCTGTTGGGCTCATGGACAACCCTTTCCTTTTACCCAAAAGGGAAGGGACGAGTAGAGACTGTGAGGTTGTTACGTCTGAATGAAATCTACGCTGGACTGGTAATGGCGTCCTAAAATTTTTACCTGTCTCATGGCGGTAAGGAATCCTTGCGGGTTAAAGAATCCTGTCATCCAAAATACATTGGGTCTTCCTTCAAAACACCACCCTCTAAACTGGTGATTTCTTTCCAACAGATCTGTGTACCAAAATCCGAGCGTGGACGATTCCCATGATATCTGGAGTGACAAAAAGGTGAAACAGGCAACAAATTTTTTAGAGTTGTGTGCTTGGTGCCCGGGCCTTTGAACACGACTCGGGCTGGATTCGCGCAAAAATTGCTGGAATAATAGTATTCAAAACTTATTCGCCCACTACGTACATTAAAAATGTTTCCCTCGTTTCTCATACCTTTTTCCAGTGAGTAGGAATTCGGGCATCGTACATACAGTCAAGTGAATCTCTAAGAGTCTAAAAGGGAGGAACGAATACACAAAATGAAATTGATATGGTTTGTGAATAACTCACACACACTCGGGGTTGGAATCTAAACAAACAAGGCAAGTAATGACAACGAAAGGAAACAGTTGTTGCGTTTGTATTTTTCCTTAAGAAGAAAACAATTTCTAAGTACCATTCGTTAACCAACAGCACATGAACACAGTTTCTAAACGTAGAATGAACGGGCAATTCTTCATGATGCACAGCATTTGAATTTCTCTTTCATTGTTCAGGCAGTGGATGCGTTTATGTATCGGTGAATCACTTCCATCACTCTTCAGGATTTACAAAATACTATCGCAGACCTGCATGTTCATCTCCCGTAAAATTGTTATTGTTAATAGACTGAAATAAGGGATCCAGTATTTCAAACTAATCACCCGAGTAAGAATGTATAAAACCTACCTCGCTCATAATAATAGTGCCATCGATGGCAAGTTTGAGATCCGTCAGTGTCTGCCGTACAGCGGTTATCACCCTTTGCATTCGGTCAATTTCTTGCCTCAAGAAAATATTCATCGGAGAAAGAGCTCCCATTTTCTGTAGTCTAGACTTGACCTAGAATAGAACGATACCTGTAACTACTTTTCAAAGACAAGTGTAGAAACCTCCCATGTAAATTCTGATAATCAATTGTCATATACTACTAAAATGAGAATATATTCATATTTCTGAAACCCAACAAACATCGCAGTTGGCAATTCTTGTGTCGAGTTCAAGTTGTGAAAGTTATTGGAAAGATTAAATACTCTGTACTACAATCTATAGTCAAGATTTTCATTGATAGAAACATGTTTTCCGGGACGTACGTGCACAAACTGAAAATAGCAAAAGGAGACCTTTGAATGACATCAGGATCGATGAAGTCAAAAAGCGAGTTAAACATGAACAAGCCTTTTGCAAGTCGTAAACTGCAAATTGAGTTATTAAGCAAGAAAGATGGTAATTGGAAAATGCATTCAATTCCTGTTAACATATTTGCTTGACAAAAAAGGGGTAGCAAGGAGTTGGATTTTGTCTCACCACTTCGGCATCTTTCTGTTAATAAAATCCCGCAAACATGTAGCAAACAAAAAGCGCATTCGATCAATATTTATAGAAAGGCAGTCATTCAGCTCACCTCATGTGCAATGTAGTTTTCAGGTAGCTTATCAAGCATGTCATCAGCCAACCGTTGGACAACAGCCTCGCGGGTCTCTCCACCGCCACCAGAGCTGTCTTTTGGTTGAATGCTGAGAATAGTGTCTAGGCAAGATTTGGCCAGGTTACTCTGGTAACTAGAACACAACAAAAAGAGGTCGATTTCTGAGGGTGTCCGGCTTCAACAAACACTTCATGACAAAAACATAGTTGTCCGCAATTTATTCCTATATACCACTTGCGATCTCGAAAAATAACGTTCTTAAATGTACAGGAAATAGACTGTATCAATGATAGTGGAAAAGTATTAGTTGTTATAGATATGACTCACGTGATGTCTGCGTTAGGATGAAGACCAAACACCTCAGGGGAGTCCACAAGGGGAAGAGTGTCAATGTAGTCCATGTACTGCGGTACTGACGTGCACTTTGGTATGGTGTAACCTTTATAGAAGTTGAAGCTTTGCTGAAACATCGACTCGCTAAACCAAACCTGAAGAGGAATTAGCATGGGAATAGCGATTTAAAGCTAGGTTACTCGGACGCCAAAAAGCAAGAATTCAACTTTTTCTGCCCGCCTTTCAGCCGTTTGTGTATTTAGTAATAAGGAAATATTTGTATGTGAATAGGTAGATACTCGTGTTCTTTCCTGTTGAATGCAGTCAAACTAATTACGATTGGGTTTTTTAGGCCTCATGACCTTTGAATTTGTGATTGTCTCGAATCAGTATTATCATTACAATTATCATTTTCCGTGTAACTAAGACCATTAATATCATCATCGTTGCCATGTTCATTCTCGTTATTTTTTAACATCATCTCACCATCATTATTATTCTTACTGTTATTTTTAACATCATTAACATTTTAACTTTGATAATTCAGGTATAATTCTGTCAAGAATAAAACTGGCTAAAAAGCTCAGCACAAAGGGGGTTAGTTTCTAACGAAACTGTGGTGCTGAGTCGGTGGGAGAGCATAACAGGATAATTTAGTATTATCAACTCAGTTGATAACGTAAATTGGCCACCATTTCCGTTTCCGTTTCCGTCATCGTCAGGTTTGAAACTCTTAACGTAGGCCAATTCACGTTACCAACTCAGTTGATGATATCAAATTACCTTGCTATACAGCTTAGCAGTTGCTTCTCAGCAAGAGTCATACACCGAGATTCAAATCCCGTTTGGACTCAATGTCAAAGTGAATTAAAAATGTGAATTACCTTGGCAAAGGTGTTTAGCAGTCGTTTGTCGAAGTCATCTGTAACTCTTCCTCCGTACTGCACTTCTCCCAGCATGTACCGCACTGTGTTCCAGGACACGCCTTTTTTGATGTCCATGTCGTCCAGGTGATTTTGAACAAACTGCACACTGGCTGTGAAGTCGGCTTGGTTAAACTCGTAAGGTATATTCCATCCCAATGGCCCATACTTTCGTCGCTCCTGAAGAAAAAAAGGCGGGGGAACGTTTTGAAAACAGTCCTGTACTTTGAAGCAAAGAGAAACAAATTAAAACTGCTTTGAGGTCGACGTATTTTGAATTCGTCAAAACTTTTGGGCAATCCTTTTTGAGTTTCAACAATAAGTTACATTTTAATTAAGGTGGTTCTTTGGTTCAAAAAAGGATCAATAATGCTCCCCTAAGAGAACCTAATTTTTTATATGAATCAGAAAGCGTCACTGTATCCTACATTGTTAAGCTCACATGGTGACGCCTTCCCAGCTGACGCTCCAGTTCATTGCACCTAAAAGGAAGAACTCTCGAGCTCGAATGATCATTTATCAAGCAAATACAAAAAGGGAAACTTTAGTATGAACAAAAAAAATCCGCCAACATGTAAGAGAACAGATGATCACCTGATTGCAATGCCAACTACATCAGTACTGGAACTGAAGTCAGCCAACAACTTCAAACGTAATAAACGACAAAACTTAGATTCTAACCTGAACAGTTGAATGCAGAAAAGCCACTGCGTACAACATCGGTTTCCACTGAGGAAGGTTGCTGACATCAAGTTGGTCTTGACTGATACCTGAAAATACAATGAATTGCCGGAACTAAGGAAAAATTCATAACGGTAGGTAAATAAAATAAGGCAAGAAAACGAGTGTTCTTAACCCTTTGACCCCTAAGAGTGATTAACATCAAATTTCTCCTTTCATTATCACCCCTGAATCACACATTAGGGTCATGGGAATTAAGGAAATGATCACCAACTAAAGAAGCTCTTGACTGTTGAACAAATTCTCTATGTCAGCACCTTAAGAAATGTATAGAGATTAGTATGGAGAATATGTATACTGATATTAGGGTGTAAA